CACGTCCAACAAATCAGTGTAGCACCCCGTGAGATCCAAATTTTGATGGTTCGGTTCATTCAGAAATGAGTTTAAAATAGAAGCTGGACGCTTGTTCAAACACTGGCGGCAAAATTGGCTATGGTTACTTCCGGAAAGTGAATTTGTGCTGGGTTGTTAAGGCGGGGGAAATGTGGACGAATTGGAATCAGTGTATTTATGGCGCTTCTAGCGTACGAGATGACGCATACCACGCAACGACACGTCACAGTTTTCGGACAACTGTGATCAATCAAGCTTCCCGAGTTACGTCAGCAAAGTGCGTACGTGGACTGCAAACCATAGACCGATTGTACCAACCAATGAGAAAGCGTGCGGCTCCGACAGAAGCTCAACAACACCAGAGGCCTGGATGACCAATGGACTTGTTTCGTACATATTATTTAATCCCTTGATTTCTTTCTACAAACGAACTGCTATTCCTCTGGTCTTTTCCTCGCATCATGGTTACGTGGGATACTACGTGTAAGTACCAGTGTAATCCAGTGCTTACGTTTTGTTCGTGCTTTCTAATTCGTGATTCGCATTTAGTGATCAGTGCATACTACAATTACTATTAGTATTATTTCATGCGTTGAGACGTCCGCGGTTCCCGAATGTAGACAGACTTTGAAATTTGAACTATTAAACCTACGGCCAGGGTTTTACCGGATACTATGCATCGCTAAATTTTAGAAAGTTGTATATCAATGGCCATTTGGCTTACCGGGTCTCAGCCTGTAATTTCGGGGTGCTTTTGTGGTGATTCGGGCCTACGAGATGACGCATATCCTGAAGAGACGCGTTACAGGTTTTGGACAACTGCGATCAAACTAACTTCATTGGTGACGTCAATAGCGCATCTACGTGTCACTGCTTCTGACTACACACTGATCAGAGACCGTGCGGTCCAGAGAGAAGCAGAACGACGCAAGCAATACTGCAACGCGATTGATCGAAGCCCGGATAGCCAATTAAATTACGTTCTGCATATTATTTAATCCCCATTATTTCTTCCACTAAATGCACTACCATTCCTGTGGTTTTTCCTCGCGCCTCAGTTGTGTGGGATATTGCGGGTTAGTGCCAGTGTGGTCCAGTGCTCACGTGATCCACTCCGTGACTGCCAATCCTTGATTGGTATTCCGTGATTCATACTGCGTTGTTCGTATTCCGAGTTCAGTGCGAACTACTACTACTACTACTACTATGACTACAATCACTATAGCTTTGCAGGCTGATATATCGACAACTGTTAATCGGTCTCCACTTCGGAACCAAAACCCTCTGTCATCAAATTATCTGAAAACAGTGTTTTCCCGTCACAAATTTGAAGTCAGAATCCAAATAATTTGACAACGCCTTTTCTCTTTGCAGAGGTTATAAACATTCTGAACGTATTTTAAGCGCCAGTTCGCGCTTATCTATGATAATGATCCAATTTACTGATAACCAAGTATCAGAGGTCTTGGTGTAACCCTAAATCGCAATCTTCGTTTGCCGGAACATGTCACAAATATGTTACACAAGGTGGGGAGGCTAGTGTTTTATGTTTCCATAGTGATCAGAATATCTGCAGATGACCAATTCCACAAACGATCAGCTGTCGGAATCTGCCGATACCGAAATGCAAGAAGAAGTTCATGGGAGTGGCTTTTAGGTTACGTGCAGAAATCAAACGAATAAGCAATACGTTTAGGAGGAGACCACTAAACAAAGAGCGTTTTCCAATCTGTTTTAGTGCCCTCCCATTCATGGTATTTTAGAATGAATAGCAGCCAATTCCATTAGTGCAGAACACCGGCTCGTTAATGGTCATGTTGAAACTGTTTCGTATAACTTCTTGGTGGGCGCCATTTTGTAGCATTGGGTCCTCACAATTTCGCAATGTAAGTCCTTTTACATCACAATTTATCTCCCCAAGTGTTTTTTCGCCTGTGTTTTGCCTCATCGGCTTTACGGGTCCTTGTTTTCCCCCTGTTCTATTAAAGGAAGAAAATATACCCATCTCCTTGAAGTTTATTTTGCTTTATAATTATGTCCCTCTTGAGCAGTTTTTACTTATTGTACCTCATCCCTGCCAAGTTGTTCTCATAGATTTCATTTGACTGTTCTCCCTCCCATCATGTTGCCTGTGGTAAGTGTATTCTCTTCCGACCGTCTTAGTCAAAAGCACACACATAAACGTTGTGAAGCACGCAAATATTCTTTTATTCCTCATTTAGCTACATTTTCAAGGAAAAAAACCAGAACTCGCTGCATCTGATCCCAGCACACAGTATCATACCAAGCAGATTTTACTGTTACAGTGATGTTGCAGGTCTTCCATTCATTTTCTTACAAGGAAAAATTTCCTTGTTTCATATATATTCTCCCATTGATGTTCATGGAAAGATTAGTTCATGTGCACATTCTCGATTTCCTTCTATTTCGTTTTCAATAGTTCTCGAACAATAAAGATTTCAGTAGTAATCGAAATAGAGACGAATCTCATTTAATGGCGGATGGATCTTAATCACGGATGAAACAAGGAAATGCGGGATTTCCCGTCGCCGATGTGCTGGACGAAGGCCATAAAAGTGGCGGCTAGTTTATTGAAAAAACCCACGAAATTAAGTGATATATAAAAGAAACCGTATTGGTTGAATAGATCCTCACCAATCTGCTGCTAGTATTCTCTTCTTCAGGTAGTTCTGTTTTAAACCGCAGCGTTTGTGATTGGTCGAAACTACTGGCCTGCGGTTCACGTATCGCGTTGCTCCGTGGCTGACTGCGGTGATCCGGGCCTACGAGATGACGCGTACCCTGGAGCGATGCGTTACAGTTTTTGGACACCTGCGGTCAATCAAATTTCAAAGTTTCCGTCAATTACGTGCGTACATGTCACTGCTTCTGACTACACACCATAGGCAGATCGTGCCAGCCAATCCGAGACAGTGTAGTCTAGACAGACGAAGAATGATGCAAGCAATTTTGGAATGCGATTGATGGAAGCCTGAATAACCAATGGTCTTCTTTCGTACATATTATTTAATCGACCTCGTTTCTTTCAGTGAACGAACTACCATTCCTATGACCTTTTCTTCGCGTCTCACTTACGTGGGACATTGCGTGCTAGTACCATTACGGTCCAGTGCTTACGTGATCCAGTTCGTGATTGCTTATCTTTGATTCGTATTACGTGGTTTGTATTCTCAGTCCAGTGCGCATTAATAATGCTATTACCACAACCACTACACTGCCATTATCTTGGAGGATTGAATCCTCACCGCTGTTTCATTATCTCACTCGTGCTTAGTTGATGATGAATTGTTTCCTAAAACTACTCAGGAAATATATGATGATCCAAGCCTACAGGATAACGCCAGCCACAGAGAGACGCGTTACAGTTTCTGGAAAACTGTGGTGAATTAACCTTCCCAGATGATGCCAGCCAAGCCCTTGCGCGTTACAGCTGCTGGACAACAAACCCAGGCCAATCGTGCCGACCAGTCAGAAGTCGTGCGGTTCAGACAGAAGCTGTATGACGTCAAGAATACAAGCACGCGATTGGTTGATACCAGGATAACCAATAAACTTCCTTTGTACCAGTTATTTAATCCCCTTTATTTCTTTTGCTACTTCTGTAGTGTATTCCTTGCGTCTCGGTTACGTGGAACGCCAGCATGCAAGTGCTGGTACGATTCAGTGTTTTCGGTGCGTCTGTGATTCTCGATTTCTGATTCGTTATTCGTAATTCGTAATTCGTGATCTGTGCCTACTTCAGATACTACAAGATATTTATAACGGTTGACGTAGTTTAAGTCCCCAGCCTCATAGACCCATCTCCCTAGTGAATAAAGTTTTTCATACAAATTATTAAAATTCAAGGCAGAAATCAGAAACCCAATATTCACAATTAATAAATGTTTACTCATGAGTTCCGACCGACGAAGCCTATGAGTTAAAAGCATAAAGGCAAACTTCGAACTGAGAACAACGGATAATGAGCCGAATGAAAGTGAATCTCTTTAGATAAAAGTAGTCAGTTTGAAATAATCCATTCTATTTTTTATATGCAACATACACTGCTTGGGCGTGGGTTTTACTTTCTGGGGAAAATTGTTAAGTCCTCATTAGTTGAATGCGTTTTTAAGCGATGGAAGACTTGTGACTACCAGCAAAGAGCACAGGACAGCTATTCAGTCCTGTTTGGGGCCCGTCAGCAGTGCATACGTTTTGTGTTCCTGTCAAAGGTAAGGATTTGATGTACCGACCCGAATGTACGCGGTTCAAGTCCTGACAGGGAAACAAATTTATACACTGCTGAAAAGTCCCAAACAGGACGAAACAGCTGTCCTCTACCCTTTGTTGATCATCAGAAATCTTTCCATCCGCGTTTTAGAAAAGCCCCAAGGTGGACCGGCTAGTGTTGAGAATCCGAGATACAAATTCCAGTAGCATTAGAGAGTTCACGCTGAAAACCCGAACAGAATTCCAGAGGACGCACAAATCTCGAAGTCAACAGAAGATGAAATTTCCACTAATGTCGGATTATTTATCTTTAGAACAAAATAGGTAAAAACGGTAAATAGCAAGATAAATATGGAGTGAGTGCTTGCACAATCAAGACACTTTCAAGTGATAGTGCGTCCTCAGTGACGAAAGCTGAGGTTTACAATCGAAACAATAAAGCATGAGAAAAACAGCAATTTTGTGTCATAAGAAGCCTTCAATGGCTATCACATTGTTCAGTTCGGCGAATGATGGTGTGTGTGACAAATTAAAAATTAACGATCGGAATAATGTTGATATCAAATGCGCGTGCGTAAGGGTCAAATGGCTGACAACAACCATATTAAGGTAGGACAAAACTGCCGGTGGTATGAGTATCCAGGCAATACGTGGGAATGTATTTGTGCATCAATGGATTGCTGGATAGAGTAAAGTGAGCACACTATTTCATAGAGCGCATGAACTAAGCTGACAAGACATTATAAACGATGAGTACAATCTCTCCTAAAATGTTCGAAAAGCAAACGGTTATCCAGTTGAATTCATCACCAGATATTAATTCTCAGAAAAGCCAAAAGCACAAAAACGAACAATTGCCTCCAAAACGAAAGCTTTCCTGAAGTTGTGTACAACAGCAATGACACGAGCCAATAAGTTAAATAAATGGCACGCATCCCTTTGCGTTTGGTAAAACAATTTGATTTAAGTATGAAATTTTTCTGATTAGGCATTCTAATACAATACGTCAGTACTTTCGAAGCGGGTTGTAAAATGCTTTAGACTGATCTCTCCCACAGATTTCATTTCTAGCCTATTCATTTAGTTATCCTAATCACGTGATCTGCGAGCAGCTCACGAATTAGCTAGAATGGATTGATCAAACCGGTCTTCGAATTCATCCAATCGATCGGCAAGTTATAACAAGTACAACTTAATCGTCTGACTGCTCAGTCACAGAATTTCGTGCCAGACACATTTAGCGGATAATCAAGCTTTAGGAGTTCCACTGACTGTGCATAGTACGACAAAAACCGACGGATAAATGAAGGACAAGTAACTGGAGAACCGCGTGTGAAAAAGCTACACTTATCACGGTGCTGTTGCGTAAATTAAAAATTTGGAAAACNTCACTCCAAAGCAGCATAAACAATCCCATTTGAAGATGACAAATAGAACATCCATGCATAGCACTGCCCCGATGACCAAATGTCTTTCTACCGTTTCCGGACCACAACAAATTGACTGTGGTATCACATCAATTGTGTCTGCTCATCATTCAGGCCAAAATCAAACTCGTCTGGCTAAACAAACTGCTTCTGGCGATACCGGTGATAATACGTCTACATGCGAACATGCGAAACGCGCCCTAGATGGAGAGACTAATGCAAACGTAAGCACCAATAAATCCAGTCTATCCTTGCCGCCCAATTCCACTTCGATGCCAACCAATGGCCTAAACCACGGCAAAGCGCCAATCAACATGACGCTGTCTAGTTCATCCACGGGCACAAAATATCCCGGACCAAATGCCACAAATTGTTCTGGTCAACCGGAGAATAAAACAAACCTGATTATCAATTATTTGCCACCAAATATGAGTCAGGAAGAAGTACGTGCCTTGTTTTCCAGTATTGGAGAAGTGGAGAGTTGTAAACTGGTACGAGAGAAAACGTCCGGGGAAAGTTTGGGTTATGCATTCGTGAAATTTTATGATCCGGCTGATGCGGGTAAGGCGATTAAAACGTTAAACGGATTGCGTCTACAGAATAAGACAGTGAAAGTCTCTTTGGCTCGACCCAGTTCAGAAGCTATCAAAGGGGCCAATTTGTACATTTGTGGTCTACCGCGTAAAATGACACAACCGGAACTGGAAAAACTGTTTAGTTCTTGTGGGCATATCATCACAGCTCGAATCCTGTATGATACCAAAACCGGTCTATCTCGTGGGGTCGCTTTTATCAGATACGATCAGCGCACAGAAGCGGAAGTAGCGATTCGTCGTTTGAACGGGTATTTGCCACCCGGAGCAACGGAGCCAATCACAGTCAAATTTGCCAATTCACCAAGTGCGAATAGAACAGAAAATNGAAGTCTGGTGACGGTGACAATAACTCTCAATATGGTCCCGTTTGTAGCGGTCCTCCAGGCGGTTCGACGAATTCAAACCCGAATGTATCCAACAACGCTTCAGCAGATCTTTGTTCAGCAGCCCCTTGTCGCACCCATACAAATGCCCTATCTGCGAACCATAGCGGTCCACCGCCCACATCTGTTCCACCCAGTCGACAATTTTCAAATTCACGGAATGCACCTTCGAACAATGCTTCAAATGGGCGAACTCCACCTCCACCAGGCTTCGTTTACCAGGGACATCGTTCGAATATAAATTCTGCTTGTTCAGGCACAACCTGTAACAGTGCCTGTGGATTCACTAACGAACTGGAAAATACATCCGTCAGTCATGCGACACAATTAGTTAATCAATCTTCCGGGTGCTTCCAACCACCGCTGGTTCAAAATGGATACTCGATCCCGATAGGGTCTGCCAATTCGATGCACCCCATGAATACAGGAAGACAGGATATTGGCATGCTTGGACCTCTAACACGACTGACCGGTGCTGCGCGCCTCAAATGTCATGCAGCTGCAGCAGTAGCTGCAGCGGCTATTTCTGGTGGAGCAGGAGTTGGGTTCCGGACCCCAAATGCTACGCTCGGAAATCCAATGGCACCGACTTTTCCCACCGGTCTGCCTACATTCGGAATGGATTTTATGCGTGGCTTAGGCCCAAGCGCTCACGCATTACTGGCTCCAGCATTTGCAGCCAGTTCCGGAGCTCTGACAGCAACCGGGTGGTGTATTTTTGTGTACAATTTGGCCCCGGACACGGAGGAATCCATATTATGGCAATTGTTTGGACCATTTGGGGCGGTTCAAACGGTCAAGGTGATTCGTGATCCGGTTACCGGTAAGTGCAAAGGATTCGGATTTGTCACGATGAGTAACTACGAGGAAGCCTTGCTGGCCATTCACTCGTTGAACGGTTTTAATCTAGGCAATCGGGTACTTCAGGTGTCGTTCAAGACTACACCTAATTCGAGACAAATGAAGTACATGTCCAACTTTTCAGAAGATGTCACAATGGGTGCAATGCCTGGTTCATTGACTCCTGTCCCGGGTAGTTTCGGTTGAAGTGATTACGGCGAAAAGGACCAAGGCACGGTGTCTCGTGATTTAGTTCACCGGTTCTGGTGATAATATTAAAATGAACTATTTCGTTTTGTGTATTTATTCTTGTATTTATGCTTATCCTATCCTCGTTGTAACCTTATCACTTTATCCTTCCTAACCTTCACTCGGATATTTTCATTTCAGCGATCCGTTTTAATTCTCTTTTCTTGATAACAATCTGTTTCAGTGGAATCGGTTCAGAGAAGCGCCTAATTTAAAAGTTTGTATTTGGTGCGTATATTATCAGATTACGCACAGTTTCCGGAACAAATGTCCGCTTATTTTGTTTCTTAAACGAAACTGAGTCTTTAGTTGTCTTTCAAATGGATTTTTACTCCTTCCTTCATTCATCCATTTAAATTTCGGTTCTGATTGACGACTCTTTCCATTTATTCCCTGGCTATTCACTTGCATCGTTTCTCGTCAGTGCACCAACACAGATGTATCTCTAACTTGTTTTGCCCTGTGCCGAATGCTGATCTTGCTGGGTTTTCTTTTGTTCTTTGCTTTGCAAACCTTTTCACAACTTACCGAATCTTCGATCGGCTTCTCTTCAATCAGGACTGTTGTCCGTTTTAAACAGTCATGTGCACAGTAGTTATCCCATTCCTGTTCCCTACGCTGTCTATAGTTCAACTTTATTCGCATTTTTTAAACATTCGTAATCCAATTTTACTCTCACGCACACACGCACGCATCTAGATTGGTCGCTTTACAATAACCCGTTTCCCACACGCGATTGCACCATAGGACCATACGCCCCAACCCGCATGCAAACATGCCTACACATCCGCGCGCACACATACGCACATGCACAAAAGAAGCACGTACAATGAGAATGCAAAGGACGCACGCGCAAATGAGTTTTCGCATGCTTGCGAATCACATTTGAAAACATACCATTCAAACCACTAATCTGCACAACGAAAGTAAAATGAGTTGTTCTGGTGTTCCCTTAAAATTATGCTTGTTTTGTTCTCTCTCTCCTTTGTATGTGATCGGTATAAACGGGCATAGTAAACGAAAAGGCCAAAACGATCGACGTAAAGTGACGCACAAAACAACCTGAAGACAGTGTCTTTCAACAAATGGGTTTCTTCTACAAAAGCGGTACTGAAATACAGATTACGATAATGCAAAATATGCAAACCTCAAACTGTGGCACTATTCGTTTCAAAAAACACCGGAATCTGTGACGCCAGTAATTCGACAAGCAAGAGTTGCGAGCAAGCAGACGCGCAGTGAGATGAGTAGAGAACGAATACACCGAACAATGTCAAACAAGATCACGTGGATCTGTAGTAGTCAATGCTGGGAAGTGATCTAGAGGGCACCAAACAAAACACAGTGGGTATGAGTGCTAGTCATCAGAGCCCGCCGTGACATGACGGTACGATAAACCTGTGTAGGTGTGTGTGTGTGTGTGTGTGTGTGTGCGTATGTGTACACAGGTATCAGTCAGTCGATCATGGGCACGGGTCGGTGAGACAGGTTGGACCGACATAGAGGACGACGTAGCAGAGCAAACATACTATTAGTGCGTGCGTATGTGTTAACGGCGTGGAGAACAGCCATAGGCACGGTTCAATGGGAGAATGAAATCAACACACGGGCAAAGTAGGAATATGGACAATAGGGAAATGGTGCTGCATGTGAAGAGTGTCAATATGAGACAGAATTTACTCTACAGTGCATATGAACCAAATATTGGGGATATATTCAACGGTGTGCTCGGTAAATATGAACGAATTTGTAAGCGATTATTCAAAGTAAACCATATAGACCATTGCACGAGCTAAATGAAATTTCAGCCATGAACGTGCGATATTGACCAGCACTGAATTTCACTCACACAGGTCGCACTGGAACTCCTGGATGGGCACGGCATGACCAATTCAATCAATTGGTGATATATGGCTAACTGTCATGCACGGCGATGACTGTGCGTTCACTGACTTTTCACCCAAACCTTGGTTACCAAACGTTTCTTTTTCTATTCACGATAGCGGTTTGGGGTTCGAACCCTCCTATTTACTTTTTTCCCTTCGGTCGACCAAAGGGAAAAACGAGAGACAGCAAAAGGACCGCCTTACGACAATGCAAGGTTAATGACTGTGGGAACTGAGACTGTCTAATATGGTCAAGGTCAAATAGCATCATGCACCAATCTGTCTCCATTTAATATTGTCTTTTGGAGTATTACGTGCATCTTTCTTTGGTATGAAAAAGCTAGCCGTAACTGTTGAAGAAAGAGGTGAATGGTCCAAGTAAACAAACATTAATGAGGTAAAGTCTAAGGTTTCCAAATACAATGTGGTTTTAGAATTGAAGGCTATTCGGTTATGATGTGCAATGTCTGCACCCGCAGTAAATTCGAATGCAATTTTTTTCTGATTACAAAGGTTCAGGTGTACAGAGGGAGAACGTAACGTGCATTTTTCCATACTAATCACGGATTTTCAGTAGGGAGTGAATGCTCAACATTTGCACCTTATTTCTTCTGCCCAGTTCACATGACCAATTTCATCAGCACTCAGAAGTATCTTAGTATACTAAAGGGTGTCATTGAAATCGACTCCATTCAAACAGCATATGTTCCTAACTCATTAGATATAATTCAGTATTCAAATAACCACATCCATTAGTATTCCATTCGACTCGGTAGATTGCGACAGATTTAAGTCAACCACTAACACAAATCTGTTTTTGTACAGTGCGAACGCTTCGTTTCAAATTGTTTTGTTCCTCTAACTCATGTGAATTGTAGATTATTGAACTGGAAAAGAAAACTCTAGTAATTGCTTGAATTTCTGATACCACTGCAGTGATTTTCGTCAATATCGGCGTCTACCCAAATGGTCATTGTAGTTACTTTTATATGTATCAATCTTATTCTCCCACATTCTTCCTTCGTTACGTAAGTTGCTTCCAATCGATACCAATATCAATCACCGTTAAGATGTGTCTCATTTTTCCCCATGAGCCGTCTGTTCGATATCTAAACAGTTCTTCGGTTAACTAGGTGTAAAGATCAAATGAAAGTTATTTTTAGTATATTCCTTAACTGTTTCTCTGCCTAAATGACCTATTTTTTCTTTGGTTACTGTGCTTAAAAGTCACACGTAATGTGAAGACCATACTCCCAAATCCAGTAACACAGAAGATTTGTGTGCGCAAGAGCTACGCATGTGATGAATGCTCAAGCTGGTGACTTGTTCATCAGAAATGCAATCGATTGTCGTTCGTGACGGAAGTTTCTACGACTTTAGTTCTTCTGTGATCAGAGCACACGTTTCATAATCCTTATACTAATTGCTTCAACCATCGATGGGGCTTGGTACTTCCAAATGAGCGACAATCGAGTTTGAGTCCCGCTTTGGATCATAGGTCCTCAGGACTCGTGTACTTTGATGCGCATGGATAAATACTTAGTCTTTTGACTACAATTTATCAAATGATATCATCCTTATACAGATTTTCATCTGTTTTTATCATTTAATTTCGACCACTCAGCTGCTTCTATTGCAGCCCATGATATAAAAATAAAATGCCACAGAAATAACTCTTCTCAGTCTATGTGTGTATATCTACGCTCATCGAATACAACCACTTGGGCATCCCTCAAAAACTACCTTTTTTCAGTCAAGACTTTGCTCACAGCTACTTCATTTAGCCTGATCACTCTTGAAACTCCATCTTACAATCCGTAAATGGAGGCAACATTAGGCTAGAGTTTCTCTCTCATCGGAGCTTATCAGTTGTGGATATCCACTGTCTCATCCGCACTTTCAGCTTCCTGCCATTCGCATGGGAGGCGTGTATGCGTTACCACTGTGTTAACTGGCTCACACTGGGGTTGACCAGATTTGTCACTTCGCGTTTATTCCACAGAGATAGTTAGTCATTTCTTTTGGCCCGAAAGATGTTAACATTACTCTTGTCGTCAAATATTATATTGCTTTCAGAGACCATTTTTCTTTACGATCTGAGTGAGGCGGTACCTAATCACAAACTGATCTCTAAACTGACCATATGGTTCTCGACAGATGTCCCCACAAAAACGAAGACCGTTGCGATTTGGTTAGGTCTATTTAAACCCGAAGTTTCAGTCCGCTACCATCTTCTGGATTCAGTCGTTGTGCTCAGGCGAGAAACTCTATAATACTTTGGACTTTTTTCTATCAAATTATCTGAGGCAATTTTCAAAGGAAATATGGACTAGACGGTATCGGATTTATAAATTCTGTCACTTTCGTCGCAGTCCACTGGTTACCTCGAGTGCGGAGATATTCTCTGCATTTATCTATCACTGCATTCGACCCAAATCAAACTTAACGAATCAAAAACGACAGATTGCGCTAAAGCATAGTTCGAATGCTTGAAACACGTGACTAAGAATGGATGCTCGTTTTTCGACAGTACTCATCATTTCTGTATGCGCTCAATAAAAATAAAATAACGTCGTTCGTACAGTATGTTGTGTATACATCAAATAAGTAAGCATGAGGTAGAAATGAACTTTCATTCAGTATACACACAAGGATATCCTGAATCGTTTCATCTGAATCTCTTCCTTACGTAATCTCTGTCGCAGTGCGCGATAATCCGACGCTGTGTACTGTGGCTGGTAACATATAGACTAAAATTAAAAACACAGAAACGGAAAAATATCAGTGGATAAATAGGACCGGCTGAGAAAATGAAGGATTCAGAAAAAAGTATGTTTAGACGGATTTGCTGCCAATCCCAAGAACAGAGAAAAACTGCATACGTCCAGTGTGACAGCGTGTGTTCAAACTAAATTTGAAAACAAGGAAACAATTAAACTCTTTAAATTCCACTAGTGACGTCTTACCAGTCGTAGACAGCCGTCAATGTGTTATCCGTTTTGAGTTTATGATTTCTTCCCTTTCTATTTACTTCATTCACTGGTGTAGGAAAATGCGAGGCTAGTGAAACGGATTCAGAACTATTAGAGGAATTTACTGTGATAGGAAGGAGGGATCTCACTTCTCTCTATTTATGTTTCTCAGAACCAAACGACTCATATGAAAATAAACAATTTATCAACATTTTTATTTCAGAATTACATGGATAGAGGAAAGCTTAATCGTCCTCTTTGATATAATTAACTGACTTCGACTAATTAAGCCAACTACATTACCCTCTGGGTATTTTCCCAAATAAATTAGTCAGCGCTCGGTTTTGATTAAAACAGTAGGCTTATTCCACGATTTACACTCTTCATCGCTCTTTGTACTAAGCTTTGTTCTAGAAGGATACTGAGCCTTCTATGAAACTAAGATCTACAGTTAGCTCATTTGATCATGCCAGTATGCATCGATCATTTTGTCGATATCGGTGAAACCGTTTTGTATATCGGCATAACAATCGGTAATAAAGTAAACTTATCATTTTCTTTTTCCTTTATTGGCATCATTTTCCATCCATTTTTACTTCAAAGGTTTGCTTTCTCTCTTTTCCACAACACATTCCGTGCCTCATCTATTAACGATACCCCTGAGCAATGATCTGTGTGAGTCTCATTCAATCAAAATTGGAGTGCAATCGCTGCCTGGGACACCGATAATCGTGCAAACCGCTTAGTGGTCTGAATTTCAGGGACGTACTCCTTGTATTTCCATTCTACACTTCAGCTATCCATGTTTTAATCTCACATTTTGTGCTTCTAAGTGCTAGTCCTCTCATTTTCTTGAACTTGCCTCGCATGCTCCTAGGAACATTTCCTACCTTTTACTCGTGAAGCAGTTTTCAACTCTTCTCAAAGTGTCACCCTTTAAAACCCCCAAATGTGTCACCTTTTGGTCTTATTCTTCCTTGGCCTTTCTGGACCGAGGTGAGTATAAAGTCATTTGCCCTTACACTGATCTCCCCTAACTGCTACTCTTCAATCACCTGATCCTCGCCCTGAGCTTATTACACCAAAATCCTCTTTCTCGTATTGCCGCAGATTTTTCTGTGCGATACTTAGTATTCTATACCAACCATTTTTCATTTTCCCCCAACGGTCGTCAGAATGATTCAGTACCTCTCGCCGGTTAGGATCAAACCCCTTTCAAGAGACTATAGAAAACCCTTCCCAACCTATATTTCCTCTCCCCTTTGGCGAAATACATTCGATTTATGCCCGTGGGTCGGTGATGATCTGAAACACTGAAATGTTTTCTTTTCTATTTGAACATTCTCATTCAAAATAATATCATAATTATCAAAATAGTGCCACTGACGTTAACATTTGTGAGAACTCCAATATCTCCACATTTACCTTGAACAGTAAAATCCAAATAGAGGGTAGTGACTCAATTGCACTCTAATCCTGGTGTATAAATTTTCCTTCCACAGTTCATGTTAAAAATATTGACCTTCACTTTCTTTGTTTCCGCTCTATACTGTAACTTTTGTTCACTCGATATACAATATTTATAATTGTTTGCACTTAACTGAAATTCGAGTAAGTGCTCTTAAACGTAGTACAGGTAAAAAGTTCANAAGTTCAATAACCAAACACGCTGACCCCCTGCGTTTTACTAACGCGATCGAACTAGTCAACATAAGTGGTGGTTGTAAAATAAGTCATGAGCAATATCACGACAATACATTGACAATCTATCCATATGCCCGTATGAAATTCGAATCGCATTACCTTGAATAAAAATGGCCATATATCAATCGAAACTGATCGCTTCACTATGATGTACCGCAATACATCAAAAGATTTATCAAAAAATTTCTGATTGTCTAAATGCGAAAACGAACAGTTGTTACACGGTCTGGCTACTCCCCGTGACCTGAACTTTCAAAATTCGCTTGGATTCGCTGATTGGAGCACCACACATTGTTAGGTCTGTTATACATCAATGATAATACACATGCACAAGTGAAAGAAATCTGAACTGTATGTGGAGGATTATTTTTCATCCAACTTCTCCCCTACGCGGAGCGCGACGCTCTTCATTAAAACAAAGTTTCCGAGACATTTTGAGATCATCACTGTTCTCTTTATGCTTCCCCCGTGAAGAAAAACTACAATTGTTAATCACCTTTTTGTTTGATTTCCCACTTGTGGCGTAGCGAAGTCTTCTGGCCGAATCCAAATGCCCGTATGTGCCTGAAACAAATAGTTTCAGTTGAAGACAGTAATGGAAATCGTTAAAAATGATAATGTCATTGTGTAACCCAGTATTGACAACACAGTATCACATTCAAAATGCGTTCAGAAACTTGAGTTCGACAAAGAGCAGGTACATGATTGACCGATCTAAAATCGAATACCATTGAATGATAAATTGATTTATAATAATAACAATAATAATTATCAGTGTTATTATAGTGAGGCAAGTTCAAGTTTTTTACGATTCATCATTTCATACAAGTATCTGTTTCTTTCAAAGATCGGGAATACCGAACAAGATAAAAATGAGGGACATGAGTTAGGAGCATACTTTTGAACACTCTGTATGCTATCAACTCAATCACGAGGCTGGGTGCCACCAAAATATGACAAAGCTATCGTCTCCGGATGTGAAATATCCCCCCCCCTCCTACAGCCATAAGGGGTTAGTTTAAAAACAACGGGTCAGTTACGAAGAGGAGGTTTAGGGCTTATAACATGAACACTGCTCCTGCAAATGACATTATTAACAGGACTGATTGGCAAATGTCGATGAATCTCAGGGGCAGAACGAAATGCATAGTTGGAGCAGCAACCTAAAGTGTGACCTTCATGTAGTTGTGTGAATAACATATTTGTGTTTGCAAGCTGGAAATAAAGCACACCTTTTCTGATTGTTTCCAGACGGTGATCTGCATTTAAAACAACATGAGTGGACTCAATTATGACTCACCTTCTGCACCGTCTTTATCTGCAGTCTCTGATCCGGGGCTAAAAGTCAAGAATAATAAGAAACGGTTGCTGATATCTGCAGAGGAGATGTTACACTCTAAGAAGTAAAACTGAATATGAGAAGCAAAATATCATTCCAAGTTTCAAGGTTTGAGTTTGGTCATAGAACAGAGCGATAGGGCTGTACTCCCGGGGTAACCCCGTATTCCTTCCCAAACGAGAACTTTTTTATTCAGCCATTCCAAGCTTTGGAACAGTTAATATCGATTATTCTTAATTCAAAGTGTTTACATGTTACCAATATGAAAGAATGCTGAATGTTTTGTGAAATTGTATACATCTTTCAAAATGGAGTATACAGTTGCAAACCACTGCTTTTGTTGATTCTGCAATCCCAATTTTATAAAACTTTCATTCGAATTAATCACCTGACCCAGGGAATTTGTCAGTGATTTTCTATAATTTTCCCTGATACTCATATGCTCCCAGTGTGCATGCCCTCAAAGTGCACAACACAGGTGAAATTGTGAAACTTCCACACGGGCATGTGCAGAGACATTTCAGTTGCGTCTTTGTTTTTAAATTCTGTGATATCAAGATATGATTGGTATGGATAATATCAGAATGACCAGGGATCAATGAAAACCTTTTAAATCATTTAGGTGGGCAAAGGATGAAATTAGTTAAGTAATTCCTCACCAACTGTTTTGTCTTAGGTGAACCACAGCTCGGAAAACACAACACCAACACCATTTTGTTTTCATCCACACGTTAACAGAATAAAATTTTTGATGTATCCCCAACTCAGGTATTTCCTTGGTTTGTTCTCGGTTATTAACAGATATTATGTTTAGTGGGTTGACGCTGTGGCTAGTTATTTGCCGGCCTTTGGCGGTGATTTTTCTGGTACTTAGTATAACGTCTGCATAATCCTTGGAATGTATTCGCAGATATGATGAATTAGGAACAACCTAGGTTAGTCAAAATATCTCGCTTGGGGATTCGACTTCTGAGATGTTACATAATTAGGAAGTCTATGACAAGCTGTGACTATTTTTTTCTTGTAGTCAATGGTTTTTCTACAGGAAACAGTGATTTGATAGAGGCGGCCAAACGCTAGTATACAATGGTTATGGTATTTTCATCTTTATGTGTCAGTAATATTTAAGGTGGTCTTTTATTTGGCACCTTGGGTTTTTGACCCGGTTTGTCTAGATGTTGCCAATGAACCAAACCGAACAATGACTATCATGAACCATCGAATAAAACTGTTTCAGCCACCTTTCATACTGCATGTCTCCATTCATGATCTTATATATTCCATCATAAATAGTTCGGATCAGTCTCGTATTGTATGACTGGTATAAACAACTTTCATATTGCACTTCTTGGCTAAGCTGACTCCCTTTGTGCTAGATAACCCGGAGATTTGTTCATCTAGACGCCTACAAAGCTAGGTATCCATGAGCCCAAATCGGTTATCTTTTGTTCCTTCACAAACATTTATCCAATCATATCCATACCTGGAGATGGAAAGAAAAATAGGGGATTTTGGCTCAATCTAACCTCAATTGGTTTTCATATCCTGTACGACAACTGATGGGACGAATCGCCTGGAACAGAGCGTTTATCTCTAATGTTAATTGTTTGGTTACATCTGCATCATCATCTTCATCGTTCTTCTCTCCTGGCTCTTCTCCTCCGTCTGGATCGTCCACATCCGACTGGATCAGTTCTGAACCTAGAGCAGTGGAGGCGCGACTGTCCTCAACCACACCTGGTATATGCGTTAAACCGTCCACAGGTGTACGACTGAACTGGATCACGTCATCTGAGACGTTGTTGACAATGCTAAACCGTACCGTTCTGGCTGTATCAGGTCCTTTGCGATCCGGACAAGGGGAACAGGTGTGCATCTCGGGTGCAGTGCGCCGTCTAGTTGGATGAACGTGAACAATCTTCCCTGGAAGTACGGTTCGTGAAGAGCCCTGAAAGGACAGGTAGGACAAAAAGGGGTTTTTAATTATAGTAAATCAGTGCAGCTGTACTCAGTTACCGCAAATACAAATTCGTATTGAAATTACTAAGTTACTAAGTTAGTACTAAGTTATTTTCACGAATTATGGCTATGTCACTGAAAGAACAATCAATCTTATATTTGTTCACTTATTATTATTTCTTTGACTAACTGAGAAAAATCATATTCTTACGTTCCGTGACTCAATTGACATGTATTTTAAACACTAAAAGCATGTCTCCAAACCTCATTCTGTTTGACTTTATGAAACATTTATACGTTTTTTATTTATTAAGATATATAATAATAAAACAAACCGAGCAAATCCGAAATGGCAATTAAAAATAATTATCAGATATGATAATCAATTATGGTAGCTCGAAATGCAGATGCCGTGGTTAGAGGATTCCCCATGCTCGAAGTCTTGTTGGTTGAATTTTCACAGTCACTGTGGGTAACATCATCAGTATCACTTTCCCGCAATCACTTGGCATAATGGTCTCTCAATGATGATGCATGTGGGGGAAACAATAATTTAATATCCTACATCTGCTCTTGTTTACCTAATTGTGCAAAACAGAAAATTGCAAGCCTACAGCACCTTCTGTTAAAATAAAATAAAATAATAAATGTGTTTACTTCCTTTTTTATTGCATATGCAAATGAACAGTCAACTTTCGGGAAGGGGGCTGCGGCCATACAAAGGCGGTCTGGGGAAATACAGGAAATACAGTATATTAGACCAATGATGGCCTGTCAAACGTTCCCGGTGCTGAAGAGCCACACCATTAAATTGTGTAACCAGACACTGATAGACGCAGTGAACATCCTAGATCCAAAATTGGAGCAGCTTGATTTTCAGTGTAGCTGGTTTTTTTAAATTGCGGTT